CTTGCCTTGGATGTTTAGGCTTTGGCCAATAAGTTCGTGAGGTTGGATGTCTCTGAGCCCAACCGTGTTCTAGCTTGTACAGTCGCTCGGTCTTTATTATTTGAGCGTATCAGGGATCGGCAGTATGATGATCCTCATTTGCTGGTCCTTAGGGACACCGTGCGGCACGGTGGTACCAAGCAGGTTACAGTTGGAGATAATGGAGTTTTGAGGATGCGGGGTTGTGTTTGTGTGCCTAATATGGATGGACTTCATGAGTTGATTCTAGAGGAGGCCCATAGTTTCCGGTATTCTATTCATCCGGGCGCCGCTAAGATGTATCAGGATTTGCGGCAACATTATTGGTGGAGGAGGATGAAAAAGGATATTGTTGCATATGTAGCTCGGTGTTTGAATTGTCAGCATGTAAAGTACGAGCATCAGAGACCTGGTGGTTTGCTTCAGCAGATTGAGATTCCTGAGTGGAAATGGGAGCGTATCACTATGAACTTCGTTGTTGGACTCCCACGGAATCAGAGGAAGTTCGATGCAGTATGGGTTATTGTTAATAGGCTGACTAAGTCAGCGCATTTCATTCCTATAGCAGTTTACTATTCCTCGGAGCGGTTAGGTGAGATCTATATCCGGGAGATTGTTCGCCTTCATGGTGTGCCCGTGTCTATCATTTCGGATCGAGGTACGCAGTTTACCTCACATTTCTAGAGGGCAATACAGCGTGAGTTGGGTACGCTGGTCGAGTTGAGCACCGCATTTCATCTTCAGACGGACGGGCAGTCCGTGCGTACTATTTAGATTTTGGAGGATATGCTCCGAGCATGTGTTATTGACTTTGGAGGTTCGTGGGATCGGTTATTGCCGTTAGCGGAGTTTTCCTACAACAACAACTATTAGTCGAGCATCCAGATGGCTCCTTATGAGGCATTATATGGTAGACGGTGTCGGTCGCCAGTCGGGGGGTTTGAGCCGGGGGAGGCTCGGTTGCTGGGTACAGATTTAGTACAGGATGCCTTGGACAAGGTTAAGATCATTCAAGATAGGCTTTGTACAGCTCAATCCAGGCAAAAGAGTTATGCCGACCGTAAGGTTCGTGATGTGGCATTCATGGTCGGAGAGCGAGTGTTGCTTCGGTTGTCGCCCATGAAGGGCGTGATGAGATTTGGTAAGAAGGGCAAGCTAAGCCCTAGGTTCATCGGGCCTTTTGAGATCCTCGATCGAGTGGGAGAGGTGGCTTACAGACTTGCATTGCCGCTAGGTTTATCAGTTGTGCATCCAGTGTTTCATGTGTCCATGCTTCGGAAGTATCACGGCGATCCATCCCACGTGTTATACTTCAACACTGTCCAGTTGGACCAGGACTTGACCTACAAGGAGGAGCCGGTAGCTATTCTAGACCGGCAGGTTCGTCAGCTGAGATCGAAGAGTTATCCGTCGGTTCGTGTGCAGTGGAGAGGGTCAGCCTTCGCAATTGCGACCAATGATTCAAAATTGCGACAGTAGCAGGAATGCAGCAGGTTCGCATTTGCGAGCTTCGCAATTACGAAGCTCCTGTCGCAATTGCGACATCTGCAACTGTTCAAAATGAAACTTGGACGGGATTTTCACTCATTTTTCAATTCTCTCGAACCCTAAACCCCCATAGGCGATTTTTCAAAGACCCAAACTTCTCCAAATCATAGGTAAGTGATTTCTAACTCATTTCTTTCAATCTATTTCATCTTTTTGCATGATTTCATCTCAAAATCTAGGGTTTTTCATGGGAAATTGGGTGTTCTTGGGTAGAATTTAGGAATTTTGAAATTTGGGGATTTGGACCTCAATTTGAGGTCGGTTCCGAAATCAATTGTATATCCGGGCTCGGGGGTGAATGGGTAATCTGGTTTTGATCCGAACTTCGAGTTTTGACCAAGCGGGCCCGGGGTCGATTTTTAACTTTTTGGGAAAATATTGGGAAAATCTTTGATTATGCATTGGAATTGGTTTCTTTAGCGTTTATTGATGTTATTAAGTTAATTATGGCTAGATACAAGTGAATTGATGGTGGAATCGAGAGGTAAAACGGTGATTGAGCTTTGAAATACCCGTTGGCTTGAGGTAAGTGTTTGGTCTAACCTTGACTTGAAGGATTAGGGATCCCCGACTTGCTTGCTATGTGAGATATCATGTGTGTGGCGTATAGGTGTGGTGACGAGTACCTATGCGTCACCAAATTACTTGTTTAGCCCGTCTCCTTTCCCCGTTTCCCTATATCTTGCTTTCTTACATTAATTGCTACTTGCTCATAAATGTTTCCATGTCTAATTGCTTCATATTAACTGTTGTTCTCTTTATTGAATTATTTGATTGTTTCATGTTAACTATTGACGTTCCCGTTGAAGTATTATTTGTTTCATAGCTTCATTTTATTACCCTGTTGGCTTATATTGATTTATTGGTGCCTTATGGTGCACCTTGGTTGGTCTCGCTGAGTAGTTTTCACTGGTGAAGTTTCATAATCGTAGTGATATTTCATTGTGTGGATTGAGGTATAAGTAATATGGGGGATTTGAGTTAGCTTGTGAAACACTTGTCTTTATTCTTTATATATATATATATATATATATATATATATATATGGATCGGGTTGCACGCTGCAACAGGAGGAATAAGGGTGAAATGTAATTGTCTAGTGGGATCGGGTTGCACGCCGCAACAAGAAGTAATAAGGGTGGACGGGTGGGATCGGGTTGCGTGCCGCAACAGGAGGAATAAGGGTGATATGTGTTGAGGAGTAATAATGGTGGACAAGTGGGATCGGGTTGCACGCCGCAACAAGGAGGAATAAGGGTGAATATTGATTACTGTTTTTTTGTTTATATAATGGGATCGGGATGCGCGCCACATCAGTTGTTGTTATGTATTCATATCTGTTGAGATCCATTACTGTGATGTTGAAACACCCTTAAGGATTGTTATAGATGAATATAGTAGAAACAACTGGGTTCCGAATTTATTTAATGCCACTTATTGCTTTATTACATTCTGTATTTCCTTTATGTTTAGTATAAACTGTTGCAGGTTGTATATGTTGTATGCCCCGCCGTAGTCTCGTCACTACTTAGTCGAGGTTAGGCTCGGCACTTACCAGTACATGGGGTCAGTTGTACTGATACTACACTCTGCACTTTTTGTGCAGATTTTGGAGCTAGTGGCTGATCGTGAGTTTGGTTGCTATCTCTGCTTCCCGGAGACCCAAGGTAGTCCCGCAGGCGTCCGCAGGCCCTGGCGTCCCTTCTATCCTATTTTCATTTATATGTTTTATCTACTTCCGAGACAGATGTAAACTTTTTTGTTCATATCATCATTTGTAGTATTCGAGACTGTCCGTGAGTTGTGACACACCATTATGGGTGGAATTTATTACGGTTTTGTTATTAGTATAAAGATAATCATTTAAACTGTGTTCTTCCGCAATTATTTTTTGCTGATTTACTTTTGTTAAGTTTCTATTGTTAAAATATAAAGGAAAAAGGTGAAATATTCTGTAACGTTGGCTTGCCTAGCGAGTACAATGTTAGGCGTCATCACGGTCCCGACGGTGAGAAATTTGGATCGTGACAAAACTCCTAGCATATTTATGTTAGAACTCCAATGCATCATAAAATTTCAGCATATTACACTAGAATCTTATATGTAAAAATTTCGAACTCCAACACAATATGCTGAAATTTTTCCTTTCATTTTTGAACGTAGCTACTTTTCAATTATAAACTGTAAATTATATATTAAGGCAAAATTAATTGACAAAAGTCAGGTTAAAAATGGAATAACGGAGTTGGGTCTTAATTTCAATACCGCGAAAAAAAAAGGGAAAACGTAAAATGCAGTAGGAAGAAGAAGAATAGAGAGAGAGAGAGAGAGAGAGAGAGAGAGAGAGAGATGAATTCAAATTGGATCAAAAGCAAAGCTGAAGCAGTAATGGAAAAGATTAAAAGATGATTCTTCTGCTGCTCCAATGCCATGACCTCCGAGGGAACAACAAGACAAAAAGCTGAAATCTGCAAATATTAAATCATATTATATCCATTCATTTCTTTCATAAGATAAACCTAATAATATCTTTTTTCTTCTTTGGATCCATTTTTGTGGATTGAAAGTTTTCTATTTATAATTGGGTTGTATCCTTTAATTATTTTCCTAATTAATCATCGAGCCTCTAATTAATGGAGCCTCGTGTTGGTAATAAGTTTCGTTTGGGCCGGAAAATCGGTAGCGGCTCCTTTGGTGAGATCTACCTCGGTATACACATTCTTCAATTTTGCTCTTTGTAATTAATTTTTTTGTTTTGTTTTTCATTTGTGGAAAATTATAATTTTGTCATTTTCAGGGACTAATGTTCAGACTAATGAAGAGGTTGGAGTTAAGCTGGTAAATATTGAATTTTCATTTGCTTTTTTCCAAATTTTTAACATTCAGCACGTACCTTTTAGTATAATTCTGTATTTTGTAGCTTCCTGATTGCTTAATAAGGAATTTGAGCTGCTATTAGTTAAAAGTTGGAGTATTTCTCATTATTTATTAGTATGAAATACTTTAGTTTTTTCCTCACTTGCATTTAGATCTAGAAGCTGCATAATCTTGAATATGATATTTACACCAGCAACAGTAAATGGATATTCCCAGCCAGCTCTTTTACCCCCTGGTTTTTAGTAGCTGAAACAAATGAAAGGATCTAAGTAACCTAACATGATATTGAAATAGTTATTAGCTTGTAGAACACTAGAAATCCTATTTATATTCGAAGATTGGTGGAACATTTTTGTCATTGCGATTAAACTACTTTTGCTGTTTCTATTACTCAGGAAAATGTGAAGACAAAGCATCCTCAACTATTATATGAATCAAAGTTGTATAAAATACTGCAAGGAGGAAGTAATTTCTCATTCTCCTGTTGGTTACTATTGCTTCTTTTACACGACGTTTATACCTTGTCCTTATAAGTTGGATTTTTTTTGACATTGATAGCTGGAATTCCCAATTTAAAATGGTTTGGAGTCGAAGGAGATTATAATGTCCTTGTGATGGATTTACTGGGACCTAGTCTTGAAGATCTCTTCAATTTCTGCAGTAGGAAACTGTCCTTAAAGACTGTTCTTATGCTTGCAGACCAGATGGTAGGTGTGAAGTTTTGCACTTGTTATTTATTTCGTTAACTATCTATAAACCTGTTTTCATCGTGCTCAATTGTCAGATAAATCGAGTTGAATTTGTACACGCCAAATCTTTTCTTCATCGAGATATAAAACCAGACAACTTCTTGATGGGATTAGGAAGACGTGCAAATCAGGTATTGGGATCAAAGCTATTGGTTGCTATACATCCACCTAGGAAATTATTGATTCATTACTACCATTGGTTACATATAGGTCTATGTAATTGATTTTGGGCTGGCCAAGAAGTATAGGGACTCCACCACTCATCAGCATATTCCATATAGGTAAGCTCCCAAAAACACCCCTCCCCATCTCATTTTTGATTAATCATATAGGTAAGCTCCTTTGAACTTTTCAAGAGAGGATAAGATAATCTTCTATCTATGGGATTGAGGATGGTTTCATAACAAGTATGAGCTCTATCTTGTCTTGTTGCAGATTTTTCTATGAAAGGACAAAAAAGATGATTTCTTTTAGTTTGCATCAACTCTATAACACTATGATCCTTTCTTCCTCCTTCAGGGATACTCCTGTATTTCAATTAGTTTGTCCCTTTTTGACTTGTGAGACTTATTAACAGAAGAGTTCAAGATAAGAGTTGTTTAATATCTGTAGGGAATTATTGTGACTAGAGTTTGACTTTTGTATTGCAGAAGAACAAAGTAGAGGTTAAAGGTCTACTGAGAACAATGATATATTTATCCGTTAAAACCTCTTTTGGCATGCAAAATGAATCAAGAAATTACTTTCAAAGAAAATGGATGGTAGAGATCCCAAAGAGAAAAGAAAAACAAGTACTTATGGTTTGAGGGAGTTGTACTTGTGAGTAAAGACTGAGGGAATTTCAGTTTGTTTCTTTTCTTTTTTTAAGTCATAAGATACTATCCTAGTCAAACACCAAGTGAGTCCAAAATTACCAGCTACATTGGGTCTCCTGGATTTCTTGGTATTGACACAATGTATCACTAGTATATCACAAATTGGTATCACAATTTTGGTACAAGCAAATTAGTCATTAGAAACTTAGAACTGCATCAGAAATTTAAAATGGGTTTTTATCTTATCTAACATGATTTTAACATCACTTTTCTCACTTAGATATCAAACTTGATATCTAAGTGAAATAAGTGATGTTAAAATGTGATATTTTTGTAAAAGAGTTTCACGTTCATCAAAAAAAATCAATTGCTTTTCATCCAAATGATTATTATTTGTATCTATAACTATTTTTCTTGCAGTACACTTTTTTTCCCTTCACTGGCATCTTTCTCAAGCCCACACTTCACTTGATCTTTGTACTTAAAAGTTAAACTCTAGAAGATCTTGACTCTTTTCTAGGTTTTTTTGCCTTTGACATTACTGACTCCCACTTAAGAGGCAAGAAGCAGCAGATGAAGTGGCTTATGAATTTTAGAATATGAAACGTACTATTTTTTTTAATGAAGGAAGAAGTTTCATTAAAAAAGGCATCAAGAAGATGCTAAAGGTTATAAAATAGGCGAGTTAGCTCTTACACAGACGAAATACATGAAATATACATTATTAACTTAAAAAAGGAAACTTACATCATTTATAGCTTCTGATGTGGAACTTTCTCCTGTTTATTCATTTTCTAATTTTCTAGAGCGAGAATGAATTATTTAAACAAGAATATTATCGAACTTCTTAAAAATATTATAACTAGTCTTATGATACGCGCGTTGCGCGTGTACACTATCTCAATGATTTTTTTTTAAGAAAATCATATAAATATGGACAAAAAGATGCTTGGTGGATAACTTCGGTGCTCAGATTATTAACCTTTCTTTATTGTACCAGAGAGTATTTATTACTTTTTTCAGCCCAATTTTGTTGTCCAATTTTAATTTTTTCGATTGTTATGTAGAA